TAGTGTCTTCAAGGCTGCTGCATTCGTGTCTTTTATAGGATGTCTACTTTAGAGAGGCACTTGTCGCTGAAGAAATGTACTCAGCCACCGTGAGTCTCTGAGAACGCCCATATATAAGCACGAGTATGGCTCGGGTTTAAGGGTGAAAAGTGCAGCTCTAAAAACGTAAATCAAATTTGAATCAGTAAACAACTACTGTGTTCCCGTTCACCCCAGCTACACGCATCCTCAAGAACAAATCCCGTTAAACGTTTTGAATAGAGTGACACCTGTCATCAGCGCTTCCTTAAGTTTTGGCTGCTACTATAGCTCTCAATGTATCACATGCTAAAGAACACTCCGGACTCATCACAATGGTAAGATAAATTTCAAATTAAAGATGTTTCACAAGTTGATAATTTACTTTCGAATCATCGTATAGCAACAGGCATCTGTAATATATGCGAAATAAAATGAGATATGAAAAGTTCTCGTTTTTGCATATACTCCCGGCATTACATTATGAAAGACGAGCTGAATCAATAGATATGGTAGGTCCAAGTATGTAACAGATCATGATTTGCTGTAGACCTCGGGTTGGCTTCTTAACAAAACCAAATGTAAAACGTTTATTTTTAAAATGAGTTCTATTGAAATGAAAATAAGCATGTGCGTTTGTCATTATTATAGGGGCTGGCGGGCAAAAACAATAATTATTACTAATAATAATTTAAAAAATATATTGAGCAAACTTCACAGGAATGATTAAACGTGCTTTACAGCATGAAATAAGCAATAAAAACTATTCATTTTGGTTTAAAAAAAAGAACTATAGAAGATGGCACGTTTATTTTTCATTCCAGTTCAGTAAATGTTAACGTTACATTGACAAAACCAGTATACCACGAAACCGAGAAATCATTTGTCCCCTAAGAGTTTCATGTTATGGCATTCGAACAGGAGCTAAATTATAAAATTATTTTAAAAATCTTCGCTCGATATCTTTTCAGCAATTTCATCGATTATAGCGATAACAGCGAACGTCAAGAATCATCATTTGAACTCTGCTTGAATTTTTTTCAACTTTGGTATAAGCATTATCATTTCGAGGTTTTCTTCAAATTAATTGAAAGGAAATTGTGGGATCACAATAATGTCTGAAAGGATACCATTCACCTGCTGATAAATATTTTAAAAGAAAGGACTTCGGGCCTGAAAGTGTTTCTTTTTTTTCTTCTCAAGTAACTTTGTATTCTAAAATTTCCAAATATAAAACTGTGATGCCGGCACGGACAGCCTTTATTATAATAAGGACTCTCAGGTGTGTCCCTTTAGTGTAATACAGTCGAACCTCCACTTAAGGCCACCTCTTCACAAGCGAGAAACCATTCATATGAAATGTTTATGCAAATCACATCATGCTCACATGAAACGTTTTAGAATGACGTTATTCAAGGAAAATGGCTAAGTTTCTATTTGCGCGAAACCATAGTGATATGATCGTGTTAGGTAAGATGAATCAGTTTTAAAAACCGTGGATAGTACTAGTTCCCATAAACTGACAGTAAATTCACTAATCCCTGAATATTAACAGGCGTTGAAATACTTTATCTTTTTATATATTGTTAGGTTTTCCTGATTCTAGACAGAATACTTTTTGTGCGGCGCGGGTTTAAAAGTTCAAAATTTTCCAAAGAATATAAGAGCTCATTAGTGATTTTGCCACTCAGAAAAGTTTTTGAAAGACAACTACACCCAGAGAGCTAAAACATTCACCATGTACTTGGTTTCACTAGTTCTTTAACTGTTTGAATTCAGTTCAAAGACCCTGTAATAATCTCCCCTTATTAAATTACTTACATTTTCCGCGCTTAGGCTAGCGCTGACGGAAGTAGCCGGAAATGATATTTCACTTCCTTAGCAAAGCGCGCGAAATAGGCCCTTAAGGTCCAAAATAACTAAGACAAGGAGATTTTAGTTTTCTTGACTTTAAGAATTCGAAATTGTAGAAAAAACTTTCGTCCCTATCAACAATCACGTCAAAGAAACTGAGAGCGAAAATGTAATTGCTAAATAGCAAATAAGTTATCAAAGTCCCAGGTTTGATTGACGTTAAACTTTGAACATCTGTTCTTGGGCCTTTGATATGGAGTGTCAAGAAGAGCGTAATTTCGTTTACAACTTTGTTAGCTACAAAGGTTGACTAAACATAGTTTTCAAAACTTTGTATTACTATGAGAATATCTCCCTACAGCTACTTTAATATTGTTGTATAAAGTCTAGGTTTTTACCTGTGCTTTTTAAGGAAGTTTTAAAACAAAACAAATGAATTGTAGCATGCGGCGATTTTTACAAGTACAGCCTGGTTTGTACTAAAACATATAGGCACCAGCAGAAGCATAAATGTACATAACGGTAGTGAGAACGCCCACAGCACAAGCGTAAGCACGTAGGCATGCGTACAGTGGAAATTGCCTTATTCAGTTTCGATTCCATACCTCTTCGATATAGTAAAACGTAACAAGATGGCGGACTTTCGCTTATGATGATGCTTACAAAAGTGCGTTTTCGCCTGACATAAGCATAAGCGCAAGCACAATAAGAAAAAAAACGTTTGTTCTGCTTGTGATTGTGCTTATGCTCGTGTTGTGCGCGTCCTCACTACGGTTATGCTTGCGCAGGCATGCTTTTGCTTATGTCGTAGTGAAAACCAGGCTTAAAGTGGGATTGCGAAATAACCGACTAGTCGAGATTTTGACCTTGGTATGTTCAATTTAAAATATTTCAATATTCCAAAGTTTGTCTGCTCCCGTGTACAAACGTAGTTAAGTTTTTTTTGATTTCACAGGCTGGTCTGTATAGCTTTCCGTTCTCTGTGCAGAGGGGTCATCCTGAACATTGATTTCACAGTCGATGTCGATGCACTCGTTCACGGCAGTGACAGCAGTGTGTATTTCAAAGTCCGATCCACTTGTCACTGCTTGCGTTGAAGCTCCCTGTAAATTGCCGTCGCTGACATCTCCTTGCACTTCCTGTGCTGTGGTTATCAACAGAAACAGGCAATGCCAGCTGAAACGGGGATTTTTGCGGAAATCCATCGCCAGGCCAAAAAAGACGACCAAATAACGTACTGCAATAAGGAAAATTCAACTTCAACGCCATTAATTTAAGGCAGGTACTTTGTCATGGTTTTGGAAGCCATCTTCACGGGTAGGAAACACGCGTCAGAAATTGCAGTGCTTGTATGGGAATCCGATGGTAAATAAAAGATTGCCTTGAGCAATGTAGCCGTGCTAGAAAGCGTCCGATCGCGAATTTGGGAGCTTCTAGCAAACTATATCCTTTGATTGCTGCTCATAAGTTGATTAGAATTCAGTTTTCAAGAAAATTATTTACCATTAGATCCCCGTACAAACACTAATTTCTGACGCTGTATCCTACCCGTCAAGATGGCCTTCAAATGCGTCATAAGGTCTTTTACATACGGTTGGGATCCGTAGAAATACTTAAGTACTCCCAATATTACTAGATCTGTTGAGTAATTACAAGCGACTAGCGTAGTGTGCTCTGTATATTTGCAAAGTATTATGCCGCATTGAAAAACTAGATACTTATATAAATTATAAAGTACGTAGCCATACTCTGTCAATATGTCTTGAAAATTTCAAAAAGTGAGCACTTTCTTGTGGCATGTTGTTAGACCGTGCTGAATACAGAACTGAATGGTTGTTAGTATTGAAATATAACTGCTAGTAGATTTATTCGCGTTTAAAAGAGACTGTTACATTCAAGATTTAGGTAGGAAATCTGGTTATCTGGACAAGACAGCGTTTGGAATGACTGCATAATTTTTTTATGCCATACACTGTACTCTGCTTCGTCCAATAATTGCTTACTGTTGAAATTAATCGACTACATTTAAAGCTAATATCAATATAGTTAATTATCTCACCTAACACAATACTTATTACCAATGCATTTGTCACCAACAGCAAAACTCCGAGGCCGACGTTATCACGACTTTCACTTGCTTCGTCTGAAGGCACCCTCAGCAGCACACCTATTCCAAGGTTGAATGACGTCACCAAGAGGGACGTCATTTGCAAATAATCCTCAAATCTGTCAGTTATTGGTCTAAACCTCCCATGGAGCATTGCAAATCCAGCCGATACCATGGCAGCGATACCGACTTGCGTGCGGCTTTCAGATCCTACAAAGATAACACCAGCCGACAGGATCACTTTTCGTGCCATTTCCACACTTTCCCAATACCAGCAACTTGGTGAGTAATTTTCATGCAAAAACAAAAT